GAAAAGGGATTAGTAGAAGAGTGTGGTGTAGTGTAATTCAGTAAGTTTTAGATGGTTCTAGGAGCGAGAACCGTGAGAAAAAGGAAAAAAAAAAAAAGGTATGGGGGCGTGGGTGTGTTGTGTCAAGTCCGGTGGGATTTTGATCGGCTCTTATCTATTTGAACGAGAAGAATTGCTCAAAATGGACAAGCGCGAATACATATTGGAATAAAACGATTTTAGCGCATTTTCATTTTCGTTACCATTTCCATCCATCATAGGTAACCTATCTCTCCAGCTATCGGAGGAAGAGAAGATAGACAGGACAGACAGACAAGACAGACAAGACAGACAAGACAGACAAGACAGACAAGACAGACAAGACAGACAAGACAGACAAGACAGACAAGACAGACAAGAGAAGACAAGAAAAATGCTTAAAGTTATTGAAAAGACCAAGACTAGAGAGTAAGGTTCTAGACATAGCTTGATATGTAGGTGGAGAGAGATCTTTCCATGTGTATATTTCTATACAGATACATACATACCTACCGGCATTCACATCATATTCATATTCATCTGGATTTGCTCAACACGCACATATACCACATATACCACATCTACATCCATCTACATCTACATCTACATCTACATCTTGAATCAAAATCTTATTATCCATACATTCATTCATTCATTCATTCATTCCCTCTACCATCTATCACTCCCTCCCATCGAGTCATTGACTTATTTACGACCACCACCCACTACTTAATCTTAGTCTTATTAGTCTTGGACTTCCTTCCTTCACTCCCAACAGGGCTTGAGATGATATAATAATAGACAGCCAAAGTATAGCCGTACCTATCGTATCTGATATCTGGGGATCATTTAACTTTCCTCCCCTTCCCCTCCTCTGTCTGTCTTTCTATCCCCCCAATAATCCCAAGTTTGTTCCAACCCGTGAAGGGAAAGGACGACTCAGTTATCTATACCCCAGACAAACGCCAAAAGAAGTAAACCATAACCATACCCCCACAAAATGTAAAAGATAGTCAGGGACTACCAGGTAGTGGTGATTATTGAAGAACAAAGAAAAAAGAAAAAAGGATAACGTTATGAACAAACACAACAGACACAATATTCATTTAAGTTATCTAAGTTATTCATTCATATATATATTATTAATCATTCCATTCTCCATTCTCTCCTTCCGATTTATCCCTCGATTCTTTCCTTCTCTTCTATAAGTACTTATACATAACCAACGATCCCTCCATCTCCTATTCTTGCGTACTTATTACTACCTACTACCTCTGTACCCCTTCCATCCCTTCCCTTCCTTGTCCATGCTTTCCCTTCTCTTCTCTCCGCATCGGGGAATCGTGTAATGTAGTAATGAGATACTATGCGCTTCTACGACTCTGCGATGCTGTACTGCATGTCCTGTAAGTTGATGTACCTTTTTCTTGGCTGTGTACAATACCAATACATAACATTATATAACAATACAACACGAGACAATACGGTACAACCATCGCCTTTTCCTTATTGATAATATATCTGGTAATACTTCTTACGTACTTATCTATCTTTTGTTATGAACAGTGCAACTGATGAAAGGGGTCTCCGTAGCGCAAAAAGGATAAGTGAAAATGTTAAATAACGCCCTCCATCTACTTTTCTCTTCCTCTCCTCTGCGATACTCTTGGCCCTAATATAATAATCCCAAATAAGGATTTGACCTATGATGAGCAAGAAACACCCCCCAACAGATGATAGGTAAGAATAAGGCAAGATTAAATCTTCTAAGGGTTAACGTAGTTAACTTCCCAAACTCTCTTTCTCCTTCTCTCCTCACTCAAGCCACACACTCCACGTTTGAAACTTTCGCGTTGGGGGTGGAAGATGGCGTGCGTATTCGTCTTCTTCCCCGGGTAACCTTATTATTATCCCATTACTCGTGAGCTGAGCGGGACAATCTCGATCATTTCTTTGTAAAGGTTATTTGCGATCTGAGATTGAAGATTCGAGATGGATATGGAGAGGCTGTATGTATACTTTGTAGATGAGAGGTGAGTAGGATGAAAGTATTCTGTATGTATTTGTATGTATTCTCTATATATTCTGTATGTATTTTGTATATATTTGTATGTATTTTGTATGTATTTTGTATGTATTTTCTATATATTCTCTATGTATTCTATATGTATTTTGTATAATCTTCTCTTCCTCAAATGTACCGTATACACTCGGCCCCATATTCAAAGACAAGACTCGCATCAGCTTAGTTTTATGCATGTAAGAAAAAGGAGAAAATCAATAAACAAATAATAAAAAATGGTATGATATGGTATGATCAATATTCGGATCATGGTCTGAGAAGAGATGTCATTGATCTCCTGTTTTTTTTTTTAGAAAAAAATCTCCATTCCCCCTTCCCTTCTCTTCCTTGAAACCTCTTCTCCACCGGTAGTTGTACTTTTCCCTACTAAATATGCTTGGAAATCTAGAAAATCAAACTACTTCTGCGGATCTGACCTGATGATTACAGATGCACGAGCAGAGCTAGAACACTTCTCTCCGAGAACTAGAAGACTCTGAACGCTAGAGTTCCGCAGGTACAGTTTCGGTACGTACGGATGTAGGATGGGAAGATTCTTGCAAAGGGAATTAAGTACCGGAGTGTGTTAATGCAGGTGCTGCGATACGTTGGAGACATTTCTTTTCGGAATGACACGTTGGAATTTTGGGGGGGAGGGGGATGGAATGAATGATGATGTCTATGTATCACATGTTTAGTTGGCTACCAGGTAGATGTCGATGTTCTCACATCTCATCTTGCTGACTTTCGTTTCGTTGGTCGGCTGGATCATCAGGGAATATTACTAGGTATATTGGATGCTACAGCAGGATTACGGTGTAGGAGGAGGAGTGAATGGAAGAGAATCACAATAATCGCACTACAGTGCGAGTGTGTATACATACCACCACAAGTAGTTATTCCAAAGCATGATCAGGAGTTTTGGTTTAACCTCCGTCCGTCCTCCTCTTGCTGGTTAGTACATGTATAGAGTAGTGGCACAGTCCGCATATGTTCACGACGAGAAATAAAATATCACATCATATACCAGGGAGGGAAGGAGGGAAATCCAACAAGGTGCAAAAACGTGGGGAATGTGGTTGCATCTACTCTGTATATGTGTACGAAGTCCTAAAGTTCATCATTCTGAAATTGGGGAATCCATTCATCCCTTCCTTTCATGTTTCTAATCATTCCGATTCGACATCGTGAAAGTACTTCATCCTCTAAAAGATGAATGGGATACAAATTTACTAAGCCACCCAACAGCCACACACACACGCACACGCATACATAAACTCATAACCTCTCCAATCCAATCCAACCCATTCCTCCCTCCCAGCTGAAGACTAAACGCAGCAACAATCTCATCCTCACCCAATCCACGCCGACTCCGTATCCATAACGAAACGCGAATCAAGGACAAGCCTACCTCACCGCATCTCTAACCAGGCGTGGAATCTTCTCATCCAAAGAATCATGTGCAGTAGAGATACAGTCAGCCAAAGTGATCTGAGCCAAGCCACGCTCAAATATCTTTTTTAATTTTGGGGGGGAAAATTAAACAGCCTCTCCGCGCTTGCCTCACTTTGTTCCTGAATATGTAATATGTATGCGTTTCCCCATACCTAGAGATGATGGGGTGGGATGGATGGGATGCACTCTATTAATATGATGATGATTCTCGCAAGCAAAGGTAAGTTGGAGGCTTCAAGGATGGTTCAATATCTGCGCAGTCTATCTGGAATCATGTACTTGTAGATACAACTTCTCTCTGAACGCACAAGTATCGCATGCAAATATATTACACCGTATTATGTCGCATCCAATCACAACCAGAAAGACATCCCAGAAAACAAAACAAAGGGAAGCGATCTCCTCCATACAATTCAATGGATTCCCATATCCAGAAATCCGTACAGAGTACATACGATGAATACAGATCACGAACCAGCATCTTGCCTGAATGGAAATCTCCCCAAACACGGGGATTCAACTCAGCCTTACTATTAAATGATTCTTCTCTCTCATCTTGATTTAGTTTACTTGATTTCATTTTACTTTAACTATGGGTTTGTAATTTGTATTTTCGTTTACTTTAGGTTACCATACTTTATTTTTCGGGTTTCCGGACGATTTTCTTATTCCTTCTTATGATCGTTGTTATTGACTAGGTAGGTTAATGCACTTCCCCTCCCTTTTTGAGTTCTCCTCCCCTATTATTTACCTGAGGCGAGCGAGCCACCTTTAACTTTTCCCATACGAGGAATTCGGGGGTTTCTGGATGGACAGTTTACAGTTTGGGGGTAGGGGAGGGGAGGGGAGGGGAGGGGAGGGCGAACTTCAATTTGATGAGGATCCTGGAGGATCCCATTTCCATGCTTTGTATTGTACGATGTAATAGATTTCCCGTGTCCGTTGGGGAAGAGTTTATGCTCTCTATACACTCGACAGGATCTAGATCTTGAATGAGGCGTTATGCTGCGGACGCCGGACGGATTGAAGATCGTCGAACCGACTTTCTTTGGGTTTTCTGTGCTGGGAATCTGGGGTATACATACACATGTTATTTTTATTCATTTTTAAAATTGCTTGTCTTCATTCATCTCCTTTCCTTACTCGCTTTTCTTGTTCCTCCACTTCTCTCACATATCATACCAAGAATACTTAAGCATTGTGCAATTTCCATCTCTTCGTATTGACCATTGACTCTTTATTGCCTTCTCTGTAACGTAACCGCGGGCCGCATACATACCTACTTCGTACCTAATACACACCTGTCTAGTAGATACTTGGTTAACTCGTCGCGCCACAGCCTCCCCCAAACCAAAAAAAGAAAGGTAAAAACTACAGGGCGAACTCCGTATTCTTTCGCCCCCAAGATGTCAGACCCAGCAGAGACAAGACAAGCCACACAATGGTTGGGTAATGGGACGGGGTATTAGTTCTCGAGAAGAGAGGGGTGCTTGGAAATTGTTCCAAGACACCTCAGAGATGGCAAAATACTCCCCTCCCCGTATGTTTCGCATTTGGATGGGTCCTGCATGGAATTGGAAACCCCCCTTATTGTATGAGAACTTGGAACTGGGAGAGGAGGTATCCAGTATTGGAATGTATATTTGTTGCCTTGGCTGGCTTTACTTCTTTCTTGGGCTGCGGCTGTAATGTCGTGCTGTGCTGTGCTGTGTTTTGTTTTGTCATGCGGTGTTGTGTTGTTGAACCGCAACGAAATCTCCTGAACACGTGCATTAATTGAACAAGCCATTTTCATCTACACTCAAGGAAACCCAAAAGCATCAGCCACGATTCCCGAAATCTGGCATCCGCTGAATCCACTGTGTTCAATTCACACCCTCCTCCAATATTCGAGCAAAACCCACGAAATTTCTCCGGAAGCTAATACAGGTATTTGCTCTGCGAATTCCCCACTATCTGATAAGCAATACACGCCGGTGGCGATCCACTCCAGCTTCTTTTTCTCACGGTGCCCCGCCGAGTCTTACCGTTATTGATGTGACAAGAAAGATGGCCTAGGTACCTATCTTTCCCACTGTCCTCTAGCATTCTTTCAGGGTAGGTAGTTGAGATTGCGAAAATTCTGAGAAGAATCTTCAGAGGAGAGGGAAAAAAAAGAAAACACGCGAACCCCAATCCATCTCCAGTTTCGCGGTCAAGCCACGCAAGAGAGATTCATGTTTCATAATTCCCTACGCGGACTGACTCGTAACGAGTCATTGAGTCGGAAAGGGAGGGAGAGCTCGGTATTACCCCGTGTTTATCACATTTAAGATGGGAGGGTCTCAGACTTTCTCCTGTGAGTGTTTATGACGATAAGACTATCATGAGACAAAAGGTCATGATGGAAGAAGGGAAGAGAGGAGGAGGAGAAGGAGAAGGTTTTGTGTGAAAGAAAAGATTAAAATAAAGTTCACAAGCCATCCGCCAATATGTCAACTTCCACGCCGCCTCCCCAATATACCAAACCTACCTGCTTACCCGTCGTACCTGCACAAGGGATGATTCCCAGGTTCAACTTGATATACCGTCTCCATACATTCCTTCATCTTCATCATCTTCATCATCATTCCCCAATTCCCAATTTTTTTCTTCCCTCCCCCCTTCCCCAAAAGTCTTTCACAACAGGCCCTTCTTCGGTGTCCTGTCGGCCAATAACCAGCAATAAGTCAAATCTCCAACCCAAATTTAAATTTGCATTGCGAGAGAAACGTCAGGAATAGTGGATAGCAAAAGTGGGCTTTCTCCAGAATCGACTCTAAACGCCCCGAGACAAAAAATGGGAAATGTCGTGACGGCGTCCTACGAGCTACGTAGGGACAAGGGATCAAGACCCCACGCTTAAAGGCATGATCTCGGGGAAATAGATCGAATCCACTTTACTTTGTCATATTCTTTCTTCATCTCATCGGGTTTAGGAAACTTGGGAAAAGTGCGCTCTGAAGGGACAGGGACGGACGGAAGCTATGAGTTTTGTGAGGGATATCATGTTAGAACTAGGCGTGGGAATAGCTTCATGTTTTCTCTGGCTCTTGCGAGCGTCATACCGGTATCTGGGCAACGCAAGATCTGCAGGTATTTGAGCTTTCAAACAAGGATGGATACTGGATACCGGGAGTTTGGGCGGATAGAACCGGCACGAGCGGATTTAACTTAGTGTGGAGTAAAGGGTGGACTGAATGGTGGGCTGAATGGTGGGGTCTCCATGTCCAACCGCCGAAGTTTTGAGCGAAGGAATTACCTAAAGTAGATGTTCGGTTTCGGACAAAGTAAGGGATCCTTGCTGTTTTCTTCAAGAGAACTTGGAGAAGACAGATTGCACAAGTTGGTAACTTGGTATGTAACGATAAATGACATTCGTGATAATGAGGCTAGTGATATTTGATATGAAGAGAGGAATGGAGTTTGACTATTGTGATCTGCCGTAGTCTTACCCCTAGTCTATTGGATTTCTATTTTGGTCTTTGTGCGGGTGAGGATCCTCGTCGCCAAGATCGCTTTCGACTGTTCGACCTTCTAAAGGGCTTCTGGAAGAAAGATGACGAGCTCGGCTAATCTGCTCTCGTATACTCAATGTAATTGGTGGACTTTCAGTTTCGCCGACGTGACGGAAGCTGGAGAGTTAAACCTGGGGCACAGTTTGGAGAGCGTGAGAACATGTTGGGGGTTGGGGGTTGGGGGTTAGAGACTGAGAGGGCGGGTGTGGTTGAAATTTGGTATGGTGTTATCTCTAACAACTTTCCTCTCTTATCTTTCTCACATTTGCTATCTACTCGATATCGAGATGGCTTTATCTTTTCCTTGTTTTGGGGGTGGGCTTGATGACCATGACCCAATGTGGGAAGAGACATACGAAAATGTTATGAGCCAGAACCTGGGTCATTCGGAAACTGACTCGTATTCGAATGTCGACCCCGGCATCTCCAGATTATTAACATCATTACCTTTGTGCTACCTGTACAGTACTCCTGGTCTGGTCTTCATAAAATCGGCGAGTCGGGATCAGCGAAACCGTTATTCAACACGACGTCTACTTTCGGGGAGGTGAGAATATACGATATGGTATACCAAAATGAGGCGCAGTCGACCGTGTACACACCTAAGCATAATATGGTCAGCGCTCTACGAACCTATCATTCTCGATCCAGTATGGGGGTTTCTAACAATGTTGCAGCTGATGCTGATACGATTGTCTCACACCAGGGTATTTTCAGTAGTTGGTGACGCCTTCACGAAAACACAAGATTGGTTTTATACGTGGGGGTTGTACGGAGGATGGGAGCTGAGGTTTGAGAACTGGGGTAATGAGGATCCTTGTTGTGGGGTCTGTAAACGCGTCTTTTTACTTCCGTTCCCGTCCAGTGACTGAACTGTACTTATCTTTTCCCTTTCATAAATGGTTACTATGGAAAGATAGGCTTCGAACAACTCATCATCGAAACATAACCCTGATGTGAGAGATGCCATAAGATGATTCTCCATACTCATACTTGTGAAACACACATCCCCTCCACGAATAATAAGAGTCCATTGGGGGTCTCGATATTGTTTCCAGTAGATTTGAGCGCTTGGTATTGCATCAAATGCACTGAAGATCAATGCAACGGGGAACTGTGATTGCTTCGCCGGAGCACATGGGGTTGTGAATCGTCATGTTTCTCTCATGCCAATTTTACGATAAATAATATCAGAAACCCTAATTTCAAAGGGGTTCATTCGGCTGTTCGGATACACAGCGGCGGAGTGATACTATTCGAGCGTGTAAAGGGGGATGAATGATGGAACGGCCGACCGGTCTTCCATCTCATTGAGCCTCTAAGGATAATATAAATGCATTTGGCATTCACAAAGGAACCTTACTGGATGCTGCTTCTCTCATGGGATTTTCATCCTAGTCAACGATTATTGTATTGATTAGGGATTTATTGGATTTCAAGTGAATGCGAGATACACAAATTGCACGATGCTGGTCTCAAATGGCGCTTTGAAGGAATCCTAGCCGGAAAAAGGAAGAAGCACAACTTTGATGAATGCGGGGCCGATCATACCCCAGGACCAATTTGTGGAGGGATGAACGAACACCCGCAGTGTTGGATAAATCCAAAAGGGTAATTCGTGCTCAGGCACGACCCCCCTAATCAGGCCTTGTACCGTATTTTGGGCCATCATGGTGAAGATGGAAGGGGATAGATCACAGGAGAGATGGAAGTGGGAAGGCAGTTTGAGATATCACCGTGCGTGGTGATACGGAGGCCATGTTCCGAAAGTCAGATGTGCTATTGATCATCAAGACAAGACGCATGTTCACATTGGGATGGGAAATCAGGATTTACGGTATATTCTTTGAAAGATGATGACATGGTTATGACTATGTGACTATGACTAGATCTAGATGCAAAAAAGCCTGGCAGATCAATGCATGAAAGTTGTGCTCAAATTTATCGACTGCACCACAAAATACATGCAATACTTCGAATAGTTCAATCTATTGGATCAATAGATATCTAGTCTAGACATCCAGCCTCATCTAAAAGTAATCATCGTCTAGGGGTTTCGGTTCACGCACCTTTCCACTAAATCCGATTCTCAACAACTTTTCTCAATTGCCGCAACTAATTCCGATTCCATGAACTTCCTCTGGTCTATCTTCCTCAAACACGTGCGTGCATTTGCACATCTAATTTCAATTTTCATCTAGAGACATCTAAAGACACGTGACATTCCAAAATCATCCCACCAGCGCATAGCATAGCATAGCATACGATACGATACGATACCATGTATTTGCTGGACGGCTTTATTGTGGATCTTGATCCTCAAATATCTCCATACTTTCACATTAACAGAGTGGATTCCGAAATCTCCCGGTCCTTTTATCCTCGTACACTTGAAGCACCTTGAGCACTTTTACGCCAAACATCACTCGTCTGTCGTATCTTTCGTTGGCTGTCACAGGAATGTATCCAGTTCGGCCTTTTTTTTTCATCGTGGGGCACCTGTATTGGATTTCATGGGGAAAAGCGACACGGTGATTGTTACGTCCGTAGACATTGTGAAATTAGATGAGACGGATGAGTTGGTATGCTGATAATTTCTCCGTCGCTACTGTGCGAATGGGATGATGTCCGCGGCGGATACTCTTCACGCTGATGAGAAGAAGCCAGTTCGCACATCCGTAGAATTATGCGCCCCATTCGCAGACGTGCAAAATCGAATTGAAGGGCTACATACCGCTTTCAGCTCCGAGCGGCGAGAAAAATGATGCTATCGTGAGCATGAGCGTGTCTATTTTGTCCGAAAACCGCAAATTAAATACCCCATACCTTTTCAGGGCGCGCGATAAGCTTTCTGTTAGTGGTGTGCTAGGCCTTAACATCGATGCATGTTGCTGCGCTGCATTCACATACATCTGTCTGGGATATTGGTGGCTATGGGATGTTGGATCAGACATGTGAAAAAGTCGATGGATTTTTATTTTTTTATTCTTGTGCAAATTTTCCGTCCACTATCTATCTTGGGTAGGAGGTAAGAAAACTGATGATTATACCCCATTTTGCTAATGATACTTTCTTATATTGAATTTATTGGGGACCCCAGACCCAAGAGGCACTACTACCTTTGTTCAGAAAGTAACAATGCAAATCTCCATGACCAGCCAACTCTAACTGTCAGCTTGGAGATACCAAAGTATCGGGAAAAGCTAGGGGATTCGGAAAAGTTTTCTTCCTCCTCCAGATCAAAAAGAGTGACGACTCCTCGATATCACAGCCAGATGTATAATTTCTGGCAATCGACATCGGTTAGATGTCATCTTTCATATCTTGAAAACTCTATTTTATGTTTTATGTTTTGTAGGTTTCAGTATCCCAGTTAGTCAATATTACATCACTTTCCCCGGAATCTTGCATACGCTCACTCTCGTTTTAACTTTTTGTTCTTATCAACGCCAATTCAATGTCAAGAAACGTGCTCTAGACATTGGAGGTGGCAAGATCTGGGCACTTCTTCTACGTTCTCGAAGTTCTATTTTATGTTCCAATCGTTACGCTATCACGGCGCGGCGTTTCCAACTACATGAGTATTGCCGTGAGACTTTGGCTAGTTCGTGTCTCGCAGAGCTAGATGCTAGTCTAGGTCTATCTCCTAAGAACTTTCGAACAATGAATATGGTTACAAGCCTGGTGTCTAGATATGGCTTTGCAAATACGATGGCACATACCGTTTCCCAAGTCCATTTACGGAGTATTATAGCAATGCAGATACGTTTCCCTTATCTCTTCCCTCTACGCTCCTACCCCTCCATCACCTATCCTGTCCATATTAAATTAGCCATTGCAATCTCTTTCCTCTCGTATGATCAATCCATCCCCAAATAGTCAGAGTCCCAGATACAACACCGCTTACCCACAAACAGAATTCATAAATCTCGAACCCAGCATAAAACACCAACGCACATCAAGTGGGAACCAACTCATAACCCAATACCCCTCCAAGATTTTCCAAAATTCCAACAATTATTACCTAGAGACTAGTGTTGCCAAATCCCCACAATCTGACCGAGATCCCGCTTGACCTATCCGTTACTATTATCAACTCTCCACCTTTTAGGGTAAAAAGGTCCTTTTAGGACTTAAGTAAGACTCGCGAAGCCCCAAGTCCTACACAATCTTGTATTTAGCGGAGGGAGGACATCCACTTAAGAAGGGGCGTGGTGATAATTTCCAGATTATATAACCCAATATCCCAGGGGACGGACGAGCGTTGAGAAGAAGAAAAAAAAACAAAGGCCGATTAGGTTAACAGAAAGCGCGGAGGAATCTGAGAAATCAAGCTGTTAGACGAGGGGAAAACACGCCACATAGACCTTTATCATTCATCACGTCAAATCACGCATTTCCCACTCTCTCACCCGGACATACTATATCCATTTCCATCCCGTAAAACATTACACCGTAACCGCTCATCCGTCTTAGTCGCCCAGCCTTCGAAATGACCTTTTCTTTCCATCTTTTCGAAGATCCAATCCGTATTACTATATAATTTTACCTGGAAAGAAAACAAGAAGAGAAAATTAAAACATTATAAAACCTCGTAAAACAACACTAATGTCAGGGCCACCGAAACAACCCTTCCCCCCTGTTCCAACTCACCCGGCACTTGATTTATGCTTGAAATGCTTGGAATTATACTGAGAGTGGCAGTGATTTGGGTGGTCGGATGTTCCTGTTCGATATTTGGTCGGCTGTTGGAACGAGCCGCGAAACCTGGGTATCTACATATGGGTGGATGGGGATTTAGGTTATGCCATTGAATAGCCGAAGCTATACCGGTAGCGCCTGAGGAATCATGGGGGAGAGGAGTCTTTGGGCTTGCGCGGTCACTCGGTCTAGAGGTGTCTTGAGAGGGATTGTGGAGAGGAGAGGGTGAGTGGTGGGAAGCGAGGAGAGGAGGACGTGGAGAGGATGGAATGTAGATGTTGGTTGGCGACCCAAACGCAACTGCGAGTGCGAGTACGGATGAATGGGGTATGAACTTCCACGATCCCGAAGTCTTCCCGTCATTTTCGTACAGTGCGGTGGGAGAAATAACTTGGACATGCTGGTTGATGGTCATATACTCGGATCTTCTCTTGCCGTGAAGAAGATCGTCTCTCACGTGAGTAGAACGGATGATCTTTCAGTAAGTTTACATGCTGCATCCAACAAACTATTGGCATTTTTCAGCCCTTTCAGCTTTCTTTCCTTTTTCCCAGTTTGCAAAGAGTGAAGGCGTCGCGTGAGTGATCCAACCGAAGTCGGATAATCACTGTAAATCGCGTCCTGGAATATGTGAGGCAAGAGCGCTTCGAGTGCCCGTATGGTTGGCTGTCGTGAATTCTCAACCGTCCAAGAATTATTCAAAATGTTGTGAGAACATGGAGCTGTAAAGGATTTTCTTCTCGAGTGTGTTGTTCATTTGGTCATGCGACCACGGTATCACTGATAATCCAGTGAATGATGGCGATTCGCAGGTGGATTGCGTGGTAGAGTTGTCGGATTTCGAAATACTGCATACTGGTTATGGGGTACCCCGGAAACTTTTACCGTATTGCGGGGCATGATCATCAGCTAGACAGGGCTTGATGGTCTTTACGGTGAGTCAGTGATGTGCGGTTGCCTTTTGCAAGGAAAATCTCTTCGTGCGTTGGGTCGATGATCATCCGGCTGCAGAATATCACTGGTGGTGTTATCAAGTTGTGCCGAGAAAGGTAATGAGTTGTGAATGAAGTATCTTGGCATTTAAATGGTGCCAATGATCATTGGGGGGGATAAAGGAGCATGTTGGCGATAATCTCTAAGTTGTCATTTTGTGTTTGTCGTTGTTGGTATTGATCTGCTACGCTTATAGAATTGGTTGCACTAGCACGATATTTGTTGTTGAGGTGTCAGGATTTCCTATTTTGGAAGAACGCAAGAATTCCAGTTGGCTGTCGTCTAATTTACATTGGAAGATACCAATAGGGTGACGAATAGAACAGAACAGTATGTTTGAAAAGACGTTTCTCATTCTCAGTGTATATTTTGTTGAATGAGAAGCTACATCTCAACCATAAATCAAGGGTACAAGTTGATGTTCACATGGATTGGTGCACTCACCCGGGATCCCTGAGTTCACGGATATTACAGGTCCACCAATCTACATATCTAGAAGCAAAACTACCATACGAAAACACCTTGAAAGTTGTAGTCGATTGCAACATACGATTTCTAGAATAGTGGTCCAACGTATAAAGTTTAGAATGACATCATTTTCTCAGGGAGAAAGTAGGATAGATGTTTCTTCGGCTAAATGTTGATCTGGATGACGAAGGGGGTGGGTAATCGTTATATCAACAATTTTACCATATATTGGGGAACTTTAGTCAACGATACAGTGGTGCTTCTCAGTCTTCTAAAATCCATGTATGAGAGCTTTGTCGACGTCATTGTATTCCAGCTTGAACTTGTTTCTTTGACACTTTTTTTGAGGAGTACATTGATTTCCCCCTCTTTTCACTGTCTTGATAATTCGAAGCTTAATATTGAATGCAAGCTTCATTGTAGATGTCAATCTTGATATCTCATTTGGTGAGAGTAGCTTCATCCAATGTTGACACGACGGGGTGAGGTTTAACGACAGTACAGTGTTGAAGGAATAAGACATGCCTTTATTGAATTGACTCTTGTAGCTTCCTGAAACCAGGCTAAAACGTGAGTATAATCTCTGCAACAATCATTTCATAGTCAACGTTCCAGGCAAGAATCTGTTCTGCATGTTTACCACACTCTCGAGTTCTTGGTGCAAGAAACTTGGCTTTCTTCAAATCCTTGAATTTTCTAAAAGCTCAGTCAGCATCTATATCGCGGGTCTAGGATCCTAAAATACTATGAAGCGCGTCGCCATGAGTGTAATTTCCTTGCAGAATGAGTTGAATAGATCTTCGAGAAATCTGCTCTCTTTCTTCCGTTAAGCGCTTGTGAACTCTTCGTGTGTGCGCAACTAATTCAACATCATCGGGCTTCATCTTTTTCTTTCCGGAAAGCAACTCCGTCCCGCCTTGTCCTTAAGTTCATCGATTGTTCTCGTACGAATTCGTTAATTCTTGCTCCGTACATTGTGGGATTCCTCTGATTCGACGCTTTCTTTCCAAGCCTTGTTCTTAGTCCTCATTTCAGCGACTGAGATCTTGATTGCCTCCCCAAAAGAGCTCTACCATTCTGCTTTGAGATCTCAATAGCGTATTTCAAACCAGCCCAGAGTCGGATCGTCCTGCGTCTCGGATGGTTGAAGAAATCACCAGTGTAGGCGCCCAAACCGGAGTATGGGGAACTATAGCCTATCATGGAAAGACAAATCTCACTACATCAAGAGGTGATTTCCCCCTAGACACTGAAATCCGATCTACTCTTCAATTTGCTTGATTTAACCTCATGGTCACTTTCTCCAATTCCCTTACCGCTGTGAATATGCTGTCCGAGACGGAGAATTATTCTGCATAAATCTGTTGATCTGGAAGCATTTCCAGACATCCGCCGGTTTCATTCTCAACGCATGTGATTGAAACCGTTCGTCCCTCAAAGTGGTCGTATGGAAGGATGTTTCCCAATGGCCTCGATACCCAAATTCCGGACCTATATGTATCAAAGAGCAAACCCAATTGATCGGCTGCATCTGTAGCTCCAAGCCTACGTAGTTCTATCGACTCAGTCTCTGAAGCAAGCCAATATCAGTCCGGCGTTCATGGAATTTCAACTCATAAATAGTTTTATAAAGCTCGAATGTAATATCTGGTGTCCGTAGTTTAGTCATAGGTTTTGAAGGTAGAGTTAATAGTGTATCCTCAATTGTCTGGACATGAATAGGAGCTGCAAATGCGGCCATTACGAATGAAAAAACCCAAAGGGCGAAAAGAAGTCTCATTTTGGTCTTGCGTTCGGCTGCCAGAACTAGTGTAGGATTGTAGGGTTGTTTTCCCACTCGAACTACCTACCTAGAAGTTTGCCTTTAGTTCTTCTTAGATCGAGCAAATAATCTGGAAGTTATGTAATATCCTGTTTTCATTACTGGTACTGAGGAACCGTTGGAGGTCTTCGACTTGAGTGTTCACCCATTCATCTCTATGCTTGTGATTTCCAATGAAATAAAAATAAAGATGCATTTGAATTATTCTATAGACGCCAAACAGCTGATGTTACATTGCTCTAATACCCAAGAAACAATTGAGAACGGTATTAATAACAAACGCTAGACTCAAATTAACGAGACTTATAATCTAGTTTTTCTTTCTGCTGCGCTCACTCCCATATCCTACCGGGAGCACTTGGAAGCTATATTACCTTCTTCAAGGTAGTCTCTGCCATGAGTTATATGGTCTCAGGTGCTTTGCTATCTGGAACGACCGATTTGTGCGAAACCTCATGGTTTCTTCAAGATTGGCATGGTGCATGTCTTTAAGCGGCACGGCCTCCACCGACAGGGCTTCACAAACTGCATTTACCTAGCCGCTAATACTTTGCCCTACAGCTCTTCAACTTTTAAGTCTCCAGCTTGTAATTCTCCAGCTTGTAATTCTCCAGCATGTAATTCTCCAGTCTGTAAGTCTGCAGCTTGTAATTCTCCAGCCTGTAAGTCTTCAGCTTGTATATTTGCAGACCCCTTGCGTTCGGGCTCATTCGCGGGGTCAGAGGAGGTTGTATGTGTTTGATTGTGATTGTCTAAAAGAGAGTCTCTAGGACTTTGTGCTCCAGCTTCAATGGTGGCAAGTAGCCATGCAAAGCAAGATGCGCTGTTCGAATACCGTGGGTAGTCGAGAGCTTTCAAGATATCGCCCAATTTTATACTATGAGCATGTCAATTAAGATATAAGTTGAATGGGGTTAACAAAAATGAACTAGACTTAATATCTAAAGCTTTCTGGAATGATTAAGAGAACTTACAGTGATTGTCTAGTCTTCTGATCGTATTGGGAAACATTCCATAATTGATGGTCAGAGTGTTTCCTAAACCAAATAATGAGATCGGCTAAATGGTAAGCCAAAAACCCTTGAATCTCTGGATAGTTGATAGCTTCCTTTGGTATTCTCTCAAACTTAGAGACGAATGCATCAATAACCGCGTATGTATTTTCCCCATCTGATTGCTTGTCGTGTAATTCCTGAGCCAGAACTCCCAGTTGATACATAACCTCCGAACTCTTGAAATTGTGAAGCGTTCTCTAGGGAACCTTGTGAATAGTAATGTTGTAATCATCTGTGACGAAGCATTTTTCTCCTAGACGAGTGCATCTCTTACAATCATCGATGTAGTTATCTAGATCACACTGAATGTTTAATTTTCGACAAGTATCGCAGGCTGTTGGCTTCGCTTTAGGAGACTCGATGGACATAATGGCTTGGATTTTTGTTTCAAGAACTTGTAATTTTAAGGATAATTTAGTGAAATTTGACAATGATATTGGACGTAGATATTTGACGTAGAACAAATGAGAATCAAAAAGGATATATGGATTGTGTGGTGGTTTTCAAGGAGGGGAAAACATGACTACCAAAACCACTATTGGGAAAGCAGCTTTCAAATCGAGAGGGAAGTCACAGCCAAGCATTGAATCAAGACTTCTTTCTCTGTGAATCAAATAAGAACCTGGTATTTTTCTACCGATACAGACACAAATACTCAATATCTTCGTCAATGATCAAATGGTATACAATTGAAGTTGTTTGAACGAGCCTTTGCAAATTTCTCATGTTCCCGCTGGTCTTCCTCCAATGGGGACTAATTTGAACGAACAACCACGACGTCGACTTCTACATTGCTATAAATTTAAGATACACCAAACGATTCTATCTCGATCTAATCAAAGAGAGAAATACTTGAACACGAACACAAGTCCCAAATCTAAGAAGATACTATGTTGCAGCTAACACGTAGATATATAGTATGTTCACTTCTCCGCCGCACACCAACATCCTCATGAAGAACCTCTTCGCAAACACATGACATACTTTTTATTACTCCCATCTGAACATCACCACATCCCGCGGGCTATACTCCGATTCTAAAACAACGTAATATTCTCAGCATGCCATATCTATCCTCCCCCCACTTGGGTTGCAGATTGACCGTCTTTTCAGAGTACTAGTTAATTTCTGTTTATCAGTCCAATTGGCCAATTCAAATGAACATTATGGTTTCTGGAAACTGAGTATGATTACCGAATAATCAAATATCGAGGGGGCCTTCTTGACTAAATTATTGACTATAATTTTATTTCTCATTCCCCCGCCCTCCTTTCTTCATACTTCTGAAATGATATAGAGATGAAAACCAGTTCAAGTTGCTGAAACATCAATCTTATCATTGTCAAGTAAATCAAGGCAAAAAATACACAGTAGATCTACCTGCGAGAGAAACTTATCAATCATACCTACCTACCTAATATAGTACCATATAACTAGAGATAATCTACACTAGGCCGTCTCTTTCTCACATATTACTCCCCATCTCAATCCCATCCATCCATCCATCCATCCATCCATCCACACAACCCAACTACGTAAGTAGACAAAACAATCTAATTCTCACACATTACTCAAACACAAACGAAATCCAAATCCATCTATACCCACCTACCACCCCAGGATCTCCGATTCAACTGTGGAGGAGAGAAAAAGAGTAAGAGTAAAAAAAAATGCAATTGTAATTTTGAAACTTTCATATCGCGATGAGATATCCACTCTTCATTCGAATTCAATCATGTACTTATGCATAGTAGATATGCAGAGGGATCATAGCACACGTTTCATTCGGCATCTGATTAGAATCTAGACTTTAGAGGTCACGTATATATTGACTAAGGTTGTGAAAAGCAAAAAAAAGCTGGGTGAAGATGTGGAAATGTAACGGAATGCTACTATGCATTTATCTATTTCAAGTATGAGGTGTATCTGTCCCCCCCCCCCCCCCCCCAATTCTAAATACGCCATATACTCTAGTTTGTTGATAGTATAGATATCTATCCAATTCCCCATCTTCGAACCTCATTTCGAGTATTCAGTATGATGTGATATGATCCATTATCTTACACAATATTCAAGGAAAGATATCCATCCTCTTCATCAAGAACCAAACCATCAAAACAACATCCAAAGATTTCCTATCATATAGAATCCGATCTACACACAAGACACACCAAACTCACCCTTTCCCCCCTATCTCAAAATCCCAACATGCACCACGAACCCCGAATCTTCTCCCAACCCACACTCCTGAATATCTCCCTCCTGAACCCTCCACACCCTAAAAAATCTATTAAATTCCTTAAGCCAGGATTCAAAAACATCCGGAGAGCGGAGTTGTTGGGCTATGATGCAGAAAGTTGGATTACTTGGTTCTGTTTGATCTTGATCTTGATTTTTTGAAGATGAAGATGTGGAACGAAGACGACAGAGATCAACACATGTTTGGACAAAGGGTGGGATTAATGCGTCGTTGTAGATGCAATCACATGCTATGATTGCATCGAAGCTGGTGGTGGTTTCTGAGCAGGTGAGAGAGGGGGAGACGACGTCGGTTTCCCAGTCGAGGGTTAGAGGGATGATTTTGTGGGGTGAGGTTTGTTGGGTTGTTGATGTAGATGTTGACGATGGGTTCTTGGATTTTCGGGACTTGGATTTGGAATTTGTTGTGGTTGATAGTGTGGAGGAGTTGGAAGAAAGATTTTGAGAGAGGAATTTGAGGACATATGGTTGGTCTGTAAGGATGTATGTTTGGAGAAGGGGTGATAGAGTAAGACCTATTAGACCAGATATTCCACAACCTAATTCAAGGACTACTGAATCAGGGGAGATTATCTGATGTTGGAGGAGAGGATTTGTAGGTGAGGATATCCATTTTGCGAAAAGGGGGGTGATTTTCCATATCACTATGTATCATTAGTGAGGAATCAAATGCAATGATATGAGAACTGATTTACCTGCTCCAGTAGTTCCCCCATCACGATTTGATGATAAGATTGTAGGAGATTGATAAATTGTGAGATCTTTACCATTAATCGTCAAATCTATTTCAGTAGCCTTTGAATCTACGAATCCGAGATTCTGGGATGGGATGGTTTGAGAGAATAACAGAAAAGCCTCTAAAATTGATTATTTTAGCTTATTAACTCGGCCAAAATTTAGGGTCTAGGACACGACCTATGAATCCACATGGATTCTTTGATGCCCTTGGAAAGATGATACGAAGTTGTGCTCACAATCTCAAATCCGACGATACCGAAACGTCTCAACGACCACTATACACTTCTAAAAGCAGCCAAATGTTGACCCCCTTTTCGGTAAGCATTTCGCGCCACAATAAACTGCTGTGTTACCAAGGCTCTCTCACTGCCTCATTCTAAGCAATTGGAAAATCACTTGACTGTATTGGAACTCTGTAAAGTGAAATAGATATGTAGTGAAATCGTTTGTTTACCTTCTTCGGGGTCCTCCACTTCTGGGCCAAGAGAATTAAGAAATGGTTGTACGAGGCCAGCCATGATTGCAAGTTATAGGTGGACGGGGTGAGACCTTCTCAATATACTCAAGTAGTTCTTTGGTCTATTAGAGAAACAGGGCTTGATGTTGAGATAGTTGACTGCCTATCAGACTCGTTTTTGTGAAACTATCGAAAGTGTAACAGCTGGCATATCAGACATACGGTATTAGTAATACGTGTACTCGAGTAGAACAAAGTTCTTCCCTTTTTGCCGTATTGACCCACCTATATGATTCGTGTGTGTGTACAGAGTTAGATAACGATAATGGTTGAATAAGGTGTGAGATGTGATATTTCCTGAATGATTCCTGGGGTGGTGAATAGACAGATAGTGGATAGATAGAAGCAATGACCCCAACATTGCTATGATGCGCATATAGAGTCCAACATCGCCAATGTCAGCTGCATCCAGGTACTGTATGCAAGACAGAGAGAGATGTAAGTAAGATGTAACTTCAAGCAAGATGTTTTAAGAGCCAAAGTAGGTACCCAGACTCGCCAGGTATATACTCCGTACGTCGGTATAGCTCTACCAGCAGGGATTTTGATATGGAGTTCAATGGTTGACGCTGAGGTATTATTAGCCTTACCTATGCTCAATGCTGTAGGCTCTATCGTATACCCAATGTTACGCAAATCAATGCAAAGTTGTAGGCCTGTAGCTCTGAAATGTTGACCGGGTGGACCTTTTGCTTTGGCTGAGTATTAACCGTGCATTCATTTAATTCAGCATCTCCAATTGGTCAAGCGCTGAACTTTGCTGGACGGGATCTTGGTTGTTCCAAAATAAAGGAAAAGCAAGGCAGCGTCATAATACTGTAATTCTTAAGGCGATTGATTATTTCTTCCCTTTTCCCCAGCCTCAATTAACTTCCCCGGAATCCCGAATAATATCTCAACCATTTCCTGGAATCGAATTCAAAAGAATCATATCTTTTCATTGACAATACAGTACAGTACTGGTAGCAGGTACTAACACGCATTCAAAAGCATTCGCGTATCTCTCTCGTCTGCTAATAAATACATAACACGAAGTCAAATCAACAAAGACCGGAGCTTGCGCATCACCAACTTCCTCTACCCATCAAATATACCAACCCTCAACAATTGAGCTTCATCGCCACTCAATCACAATGTCGTCCTCAGGGTCGCTCAAGAACATCTCCGTTCAACCCAAGTTCTATCACTCACCACCTTTCAGTGCAGAGGCGCCGGGCCACAAAGCCGTCAAAGGTGAGACCATTCCAAGAAGACACCCTTTGACAGCCGACAAGCTTGCGACCCGCCCTTCCGAAGATGTTGCAACCGTTTTCGATATAATCAAACGAAGTTCCGAGAAGTATGGAAATGCGAAAGCTGTTGGCAGTCGATCATTGATCAAGACTCACCAAGAAGTGAAGAAGGTGAAGAAAATGGTCGATGGCGAACAACAAGAAGTTGATAAGAAATGGACATACTTCGAACTCAGCGAATACAAATATATGAGCTTCTCAGAATATGAAAGGTTAATCTTACAAATTGGAGCTGGTTACAGAAAGCTTGGATTGAAGCAAGAGGATCGAGTACACATTTTCGCGGCGACAAGTGCTCATTGGTTAGCAACTGCTCATGGCGCAGTCTCTCAATCGATGCCAATTGTTACTGCATATGATACTTTGGGAGAGGAAGGTCTCAAGCATTCCTTGGTTGCGACCAGGGCCAAAGCTATCTTCTTGGATCCTCATCTATTACCAACCTTGATTAATCCGCTCAAGGAAGCCAAAGATATTCAATTTGTAATCTGGAACAGCCAGAATGAGGTTAAGCAAGAGAACATCGATAGCCTCAAGGCAGCACACGAGAAGCTCAAGATTTTGAGTTTTGAGGAATTACGAAAGCTTGGGGAGGAGAATCCCGTCGAACCAGTACCTCCCGCACCAGAAGATCTGTGCTGCATTATGTATACCTCTGGTTCTACCGGACCACCAAAGGGTGTGCCCATTAAGCATAAGGCAGTCGTAGCAGCGGGTAAGTAAACCTTATTGTCTGTGAAATATATACGTTGTGCTGACTAGCGCTTGCGCTTACCATAGTTGCCGGTGTCAACGTAATTGTTGAACCATATCTTGGTCCAGGTGACGGTCTTTTGACATACCTTCCTCTTGCGCATATTCTGGAGTTCGTTTTCGAAAATGCTTGTCTGTATTGGGGTGGAACTATGGGTTACGGAAACCCCAAGACTTTGTCGGATACATCAGTCAAAAATTGCAAGGGAGATATTCGAGAATTCCAGCCAACTGTTTTAGTTGGTGTTCCTGCCGTGTGGGAATCAGTCAAGAAGGGTATCGTTGCTAAGGTTAATGGTGGAAGCCCCATCGTCAAAAATCTCTTCTGGGGTGCACTTTGGGCTAAGAACAACCTCTTACGTTATGGTCTCCCAGGTGCTGATGCTTTGGATGCACTAGTATTCAAGAAAGTTAAGGAAGCCACTGGTGGAAAACTCAGAATCTGTCTGAATGGTGGTGGACCAATCTCCAAGGATACTCAGAGATTTATTTCTATGGCCATTACACCGATGATTAACGGATATGGTTTAACTGAAACTACTGCTATGGGTGCTTTGATGGATCCTATGGAATGGACTGATGAAGCATTGGGTGATATTCCTGGTTCTATTGAAATCAAGCTTGTTGATTTCCCAGATGCTGGATACTATGCAACCAATAAACCAAACCCTCAAGGAGAAATTTGGATTAGAGGAGATCCCGTCATGGAAGGTTATTATGAGAATCCCGAAGAAACAGCAGAAGCTTTGACCGCAGATGGATGGTTCAAGACTGGTGACATTGGAGAATGGGATAAGAATGGTCATCTTAACATCATTGACCGAAAGAAGAATTTGGTCAAAACTCTAAACGGAGAATACATCGCCCTTGAGAAACTCGAATCTATCTACCGTTCCGCTACAGTTGTAGGAAATATTTGCGTTTATGCCGATCAACAGAGGACTAAGCCAATTGCTTTGATCGTCCCAGCTGAACCTGCCTTGAAGAAACTCGCCGAAAGAATTGGTGTCCCAGGATCCAGTGTGGAGGAATTAGTACATGAGAAGAAGATTCAAGATGCAGTTTTGAAGGAATTACAACAAGCTGGTAAGGCTGGTGGATTGTCAGGAATTGAAATCATCGAAGGCATCGTCTTATCAGATGAAGAATGGACTCCTCAAAATGTTAGTTTTTTCCTCCTTTTTACAACACGGTGCATGCTAACATCAATAGGGATTGGTAACATCTGCACAAAAGTTGCAGCGAAAGGCCATTCTGGAGAAGTATAAGAAGGAGGTAGAGTCTGCATATGCTAGGAACAACTAATTGCTTTCAAAGACAATTTGGTAATGGTTTACGAAGAATACGTAGGTCATGAAGATTTTGTGGTTTCGGTGCGGTTCGTTTTGGTGGTTCGCATTTGTATGATAGTCTGGCAGTATTGGTAGTATAGGCAGGCTTTGCTTATTATTAGTTTAGATTTCTTATGAAAGTAACTTATTTAATTACACCCAAGATATTCCTCATTTTGATGCGTGAGCATTTCTCTTTCATGATGTGATATCAAGAATAACTTTCATGAATAGATTTGGAAGCAACACACTTAAATCCTAAAGGTCACGGGATCACCTATCGTGGAAGTCGCGACTCGCGTTCAACCTCATTTTATAAATTGAAATCGCGACTCAATGACCTTTTTCCCTTTCTCATTCGCCGTTCCCAACAACCCCAACCTTAATTGAATGATCTGAAAAGGATCCAAAGTCGATTTTCTACGTCGTACAAACTTCTGCTTTTCATTAAAATCAATTGATACACTAAAATTGATGAAATGAAATGATTTGCGACCGTACACAATCTTTCTCTTTACAAGTTACACATTTTAATCTCACAATTGGATCATTCTACGTCGCCGACTCCAAACTCATTAACTCCGCACATGCCATTGAACTTTCCTTTTACCAATTTCCTTAATAACGTCTATAACATGGCTGGCAATCCTCGCCTTAGCGGCTTCCTTCAGCAAGAATCTAATCCGCCTCACCCACCATCGCCATCCCCTCAACCACTTCAACAACGTACAGATCGTCATGCGATGGCACAGAAGTTGAGATTACCTCCCAAGAAGCAACGAGATGCATCTGCCAATGTGAATCGAGCTCATAATCAGGAGCCTGTCTATGACCAGCCAGTCGAATTTTCGCAAAGAAATACAGTACCTGGAACAAAACAAATGCAGGCAGAACACGAACCAGAGGAAGACCAAGAAAATGTCGAGAACTTCGAGGACTCTACAGTAAACAGCGCCTTTGATGAAACTATCAGCCAGGGAAACTTTCCAGGTGGACAGGACATGGGAGCAGTCCCTACTGGTGGCAACCACGGATTTGATGGCGGACATCACAGAGGACAGCCGGAGGAGCTGGCACAAAACCATTTCCACGTTGCACATGAGAATGGTTACGATAGGGATTCACCAGAGGAGTCTGTATTTGATCAAGAATACATGGAAGATGCACGAGCACCTCTACAATCGCGTAAGATATTTCAACAACATAATGGTCAAGGACCACAGACGCAAGCTCTTGGAGCCCCCATTTACAAGCAAAGTCAGACCCCCAAACCTGCCATTCATTCAGAAATACCACTACAACCCCAAAAGCCGCAGCATAACAGCCCGAGCAAACCAAAGACATTTGATCGTTTCAATCACGCTATTACAAATCGCCCTAAGAATGGAATGCAAACAATTGGAGGTTCTCGAAAACGAGTTCTTGACGAAGGGGTATTTTCGCCAAAGCCCAAATCTGGTAAAGCTCAAGTTGAAGTATTAGAAAATGCTATACTTCCCGGAAATATGCAATATCGTCTTCCACCGCTATCTCCTCAGGATACGCAGCAAGGTCGATCTGATGGATCTTCTGATGGTGAGCGATACTCTGAAGACAGCACTCACATGGACGAGCAACCAGCCCTTCAATCTCGACCAAACGTCCATGCAGGAAACACGCAACATCAAATTACCCATTTGAATCGTGCTGATATTCCACTTGATTATGATGATGCCGCTTTGAAAAACATGGATTATGATCAACTTAAAGATGAATCTTTTGAAGGTCCTTCGGCTCTTAGCGAGCAGCCCAGTGAACCAGATGTATCACTTTCAGGGCGTCCTATTAATGAACGTGTCAGTCACCTTGTTGAACAACATCGACCAGATAATCAAGAAGAGATGGACAAGCAGCGAGCCGCTATGGTTGAATTCTTTGGTAGTTTATCTAAAGATGATTGGGAAGAAGCGGGTGATTGGTTTTTATCAAGGTTCTCGGATACTTTAGAAGCATTGAAGAAAGCTAGGAAAGAAAAGAGAGCTATGGTTGCGAAGTTTGAAGAGGAAATTGAGAAGAGAGAAAGAGATGTTAGAGGATCTTTGAAGACGTACAATCAAGACATGGAACGTATGAAGAGG